ACCAATGTGCAGCAGATTTGTTTTATAGGAAGAAAAGCTATCTCTCTTCTTTTAAAAAAAACCCCAGTCTTCCATTAGAAGCAACACTTTTATTTTGCTGATTGTTGAAGAAAAACTAAATACTTTAAATAACCAAACCTCTTATCATTTCCTCTCAGTTTATCGTCAGTCTCTTATGCACCAACAGAAACATGTCCAGACGAACAGTAAAGCATTCGCTTTTAGCTGCGCTGCTTTGAAATGGTGCCATTAAGGAAATCCCCTGCATTTTTCATCTTTAAGTTTGTTCACTCTATGGCAATCTGATATTACTTAGGAAGATAAGAAGCGTCAACACATATATGTTTTGCCATTAACATCAATCTATTCCATCCAAACAAATTCAGTTCTAGCTGTATCTTCTCCTTTTAATTCTGTTCAGAAATACTACACGAGTCCCAAACTGCAATTAGATCATGTAATCTTTCACTATCTAAGTCCTTTAAAAACCATGAATGCGAGTGAAGGCCATAAAACCTGGAATTTATAATCCTCTAGGGCAAAGTCAATGATGGGGCAATGGATTTCTACAGTGCAATTTAGGCATGGTCCAGATATATAAAGGTGTAAAACAAAAAAACAAAAATGGGAGTGGACATTTTTTTATTACTTTAACTAGATATCTGAGAAAGAGCTGTTGTCATATCCTATACTATGAAGCACAGACTTCCACTGTGCACTTCTGGCCAGCATGCCCAAAAGAAGTCCATTACACTTTCCCCTTACTTTTAGATTTCGGTTGTCAGGAAATGTTTTCAGGTGCACAAAAAGCAGGAAGGGGAAACTAGCAGGTATCAAACCAAAGTTTAGATCACAGGGCTCTTATGGTTTAAAGCCTGTTTAATGAAAAAATGTTTGATGCTGCTGTAGGGGTGTTCCACCTGCTGCAGCACTGCCAGTTATCGGATTTAAAAAAGGCTCATAGTTTGTTAATAGGGAGAAGCTGTCTGAAATGAAATGTTGAAAGTAACTTATCAACTTATCCCCACCTAACCTACCTATCATTGATTCAGCCACTGTGTCAGAATTTGAAAATAACAGCAGAAATGCCATAGATTCCATTATTCTTATTGTATTAGTCAATGTTAAAAGTCAAATAGTGGTTAAAAACTGATGGTCTTGTATTTACGACAAAATATATTTCACAGCCAAGTATCACAAATATGAGGTATTTCTTATTAAAGGTTATCATCCAGTGTAAAGGTCCCACCGGCTGATTGCTATAACACTCTATGGCAGTTTGTAATTTGTTTAAATAGAAATAGACGGTACACTAAATTCATACTAGGGTGTGTAAAGATTAAATCAATGATAAATACAACAAACTATAACTCAAGAGGTTTCTCAATCTAGCAGTAAGTCCTTACACAACTTCCTGAACAGTTACCACGAGCACTATCAGTCATCCTGCACCCATTTTTCTTTTGGAAAATCTATTTTTAAAACCTTGGCACGACGGCTTACAAGAGTACCGTCTTGATCTGTGTTAGTGTAAAATATATCAAACATATGAGGAAAAACTGTAAGGCCAAACATGCTAAACTAACAGCTGAATATTAATGCACTTTAAAAGGCATGTGTAGCCATTTTAATTCTAGTAACTACAGAGAAACCACAAAACTTAACGCATTACTTAACTGAGCCATAATAAATCTAAAATCCAACCAAATCCATAAATTCAGCCTTTAATAAGCCAGCACTGGTCCGGCTTTTATTTCGGAGGAACCACTGGTGAACCAGTTGGCTAGTAGCCCGTGAACACTGCACGTCTCTCGGGGGGTAGAGAATGGCTCACCTTCCCCCACAGCCTATCATAAATAAATACTGCTACAGAAATATTTGGATAGCTCGAAACAGAGAAGTGTTGCACCACAAGACTGACAAAGCTCTTCTCGGGGACTTCCTTGCCCTACTTTTTTCGCAGAGGATGCCTTTCTTCTTTAAACTCAACCCACCCCTGAGGCTTAGCTCTGTTGCCTCACACTCAATAGATTTGAATCTTGCTTTTCAAAATAGATGAGAACCAGGCAAAATAAGTTTTAGCTTCTTTATCTAAGTCTAACCAAAGAAAGTTCCCTTATGGCAAAACCATCATGGAAAAAAGACAATAGGACGACTACCTACTTTTGCAATAAACTGAAAGAAACCATAAAACTACCAATAATACCACTGATAATACAACTTCTTTAACACTGGATAAAAAGATCTACTAACAGACCCATTTAAGGCCATTTGACTTTAACAGCTAAAGGTACTATCAGCATGACACCTGGATCAAATGTCTCAGGAGTAGCAAAAGCCTTCATCAGCTCCTGCTCTGTCTAAAAAGAAATTGAAACATGACACCTAGACAGACAACTCAGTCACCTCAACCACAAATTCATCTGCTTCCATTCAAGCAGGCGGTGCATGCAATTAAGAAGCAATTAAAACGAAAATGAAGACCTTCATTTGGGTGTACACTGTACCATTCTAGGGTATTCTCAGACAAATTCAGTACATTTCAACTGCATATTCCAACTACATCAAGTATGGAACATAGAGCTATGGTTTATATTTAACTTTTTATTACAAAAATCGGAGCTTAAGCTGGTATGGATCCGCAGTCAACCTCTTAGACCTTGGATTAAGCAGTAAAGTTGCAATTACTCCCCAGATTATATTCTAAATCAGTTCATTCTGTTTTGCAGCATTCATAAAAGATTGTGGTGATATATAATCACTGAAATGCATAAATCAAACGATAATCCAGTGTAAAACTCAAAAAGGCCAATAAAAAAAACTGTGAGCTGAAGTTAGTTAAATATGGACATTTTTATGTTAAGTGGCAAAACCTTCCCTAAAAATACTTGAGGTTTTTCAGCTGGATGAGCTGCTTGTTTACTAAATAACGTAGGGACAATGAGAGTCATTATCCCATCATGATTCACAACCATTATAAAACAGGAATTAGGAGGGAAAAACAAAGTAAAAATAATAGAAGTATTGTTCCAACCCATGCTCACCAAATGAAGGGATACTAATGGGATCCTTTAAAGAGCATCAACCTCTAGTATAAATAATATAGTTTTCCCACATGATCAAACTGTTTGTTTTGTGTTTTTCCTGAAGAAACAAAACAGCAGAAATTTCTTCTGCTTCTACAAGAAATGAATAATGTTTAGTTGTTAGCTGATCAGTCAGGCTATTAGCTTCGGTAGCCATGTCTGCAGGCTGAAGTTAATAATTATGCTGCTTATACCATAATAACTGTAAAATGATAATAGTGGCACTCATTAAGTTTTTTTTCTTGTAAGCAAGTGAAAAGCAAAGTAGTCATCATTGTGTTTTGAAAATTATAAATAATGCATATGGTATTCATACAGCACATGCAATATAGGTTTGGGAATTTAGTATTAGATTAACAAAAATTTTGAAAAAATCTTGACATAACTCTGACTATAGCTGTATTTACAATACCCTTTTGAAACCGTGCCGAGAGCAGTCTGATAACAGAGATAACTGTTGAGAGTAAATGGCATGCAAACCTGAACCAGACCGTGCCAGACCTAACTGAACCGCGCTAAACTAGTACTAGCGCATGAGCAGACTCCTCCATCTCCTTACAGTCAGCCTCCAGTAGTTGGCGGTAATGAATAGTATTGTGAGTTGCTTGCCAACCGCCACAAAACAGAAGAACTGTAAAAAACAATCGAAATCTTCACCTAACTAGGCTCTTTTTGCAATTTGGGCGGAGGACGGTATCCTGGCGATGTTGGATGGATAAAACATAATCACAAAGTTTTCCTACTAGAGAGCAGTAGTACCGTCGTTTGTCACTAGGAGGCGAGGAACTGTTCTAGGTGATGTGTAAACGGTCATAAGGAACCGAGATCCGCACGGTTAACCGATCCAAGCTCAGTCCGAACTCGGCACGGATCGGTTTTCAGAGAGTAGTGTAATTGAGGCTTAAGTGGTTTTGGGAACCTGTAAAACAAGCACCAACCAGCAGTAGAGGCCACATTAAGACCAGAAGCCGTTTGAGGTAACTTTGAGACAGTGAATTAAGTTACCTTACTAGTGTGGTATAGCAACACCTAAAGAGGGGAAACAAAATATGACTGTACACTGGTATCTCAATATAAGATGTGGAAACAGTGTGATATATTTGAGATTTTGGAACCATAACTTTTTAAAACCTTGGTAAACCAGAACACCAGCTGCAAGGCCACGCTTAGCAAAGTGACAACAACTAGTGTGTATAAAGTTACTTTTTTGTTGTTTTTTGGAGTCACTAACCTAAGGCAATCAAACATGTAGGGTTTTTAAGGCCAAATTAAACCTTTTGATGTCCAAGGCCAGGTCATACATGTTAAGAATCTTATTTGGTTGCATTCTGTCCCTCCTGCAAAAATAAATACGTTATTCAGGGTTTATCATTTCACTAGATTGTCAACTGAAGCTCTAGATTGTGGCCATACAGTAACACAAACTGTCCCTTGAAACTGGTGGCAGTTGAGTCTTCCCCTCCCCCACACATGCGCTCCATAACTCTAAATGCCAAAATATAACACTGTATCATTGACATATGAGCTTTAATAAAACAGCTGAGAGTGTATTTTCATATGAGGGAGCCTATTTTAATCAGAAAATATAGTTATTTGGTCACAGATTATTTGGCAACCTTTAACCCTTAACAACTTACTGTAAATAATCGTGGTGACACAAGAGCTGGAAAAACAATTTAAAAAAAGGCAGCGCCACAAATAAAGGTTGTTTTAAAGAAGCAGAGATAATTATAAGAAGGGAAGAGGAATTTCACATAAACACGTGTGGAGTCCCTTTGGTGACTAAAAGCTGCGAAAACACCGGCATGCTGCTGCCGGTTGGAGCCCATAATGATCTATTTGGAAGGAGTCCCTCATAAAGGACGCGCAGAAAGAACCGAGCGCTCCGGGAGCGCATCCCGCGCCTTTACGCACCTTTTACTGTGAGAGTGAACTCGTGGTGTCCGCCGCCACCTCTCTCTTCCTCTCTTCCACAAGGAGAACCTCCAATAACTTCAGTGAGCGAGAAAACACTTTCCTCCCATTTCCCCTGGCCTCATATTTCAGCGCGTTTAAAGGAGTCAAGTCAGAGTCAGCCCGGTTCGACAAAGGGAAGCGGACCGGGGGCGCTTATTTCGTCAGGCGGTATATATATATATATATATATATATATATATATATATATATATATATATATATATATATATATATATATATATATATATAAATTTATAAAAAAAAAAAAAAAAAAAATTAAAAAAAAAGTTGGAACAAGCCCGAGTTTCTGTGCGGCTGTGGCTGCAGGCTGGTTGATCCGCTGGAGTTTCACCGTTCACTGAGAAACAGGAGCGCAGAGACAGCAAGAGGCGAGCAGAAGAGACGTAGACACCGAGGAAGGGGTGGGAGGGTGGAGAGTACTGCCTGACCTTAAACCTGAATACTCTAAACACCTTTAAGATGAATAAAAACAATAATTATAATAATATTTCTAAACCATCCTCAAATAAAACATAGTGTGTTTATAATTATTCTCCTATTATTTAAAAATAAGACACATTTCAGCCATAAACACATTTAATCCAAAATCAACTTAAACCTTTTTCTATAAAACACTTAATTAGCTTATTTTAATTATAACATATATTTATTTGCTGGTGAATGCATTTATGCTTGTTGTCTATTTGGGCCTTATTTCAGTGATCTCCCCTCCCCCACTCGCAGGCTCTTTTTCGCCTGCCTGGTCAACCCGCGGTTGATTAATTCTCCTTTCGCCTTGCTCAGTCATTCAGATTTGGAAAGTAAATAACAAGTTGACATCAGTGTGACACATTCCTTAGTTTACCGTAAACGCAGCAGCAGCTGCGCAACACACATTTTTGGGCTGATGCCACCATATTGTTCATGTTTTAGGCCTTTGTTCTTGTTTTTTTATTTATTTAAAAGCTTTGTGTGGTGTTATCAAAAATACTGCATGGGATAATCTCCCAAATAACCTGAAGTATATTTATGCTCACCTAGTGTAAATAGTGTGAGTACTGGGAATGCATTGCTAAGGGACAGAAAAGCGTTTTAATTACAAACCTATACAAAATTATTTTAAAATAATGATGTCATGCCCCCACCTCAAACCTAAGCCAAGCCATTTCTGATGTAGGGCAGGGAACCTATTTATTCACTTAATAATTTCTGTAAAAATCTAAAAATCTGCACTTTTTAAACTAATCCACTCCTTTGTTTTCCATTGATCCAGGTGACATCTGTTCTCACCTTTTGTTCTTAGATGTCTCATAGGTAACAAACTAGGGCCCCGTCCACACGAAGCCGAACCCTGGCCTAAACGCACAAATTTTTCACCAAACCAGCCTCTCATCTATACGAAGCCGGCGTTTCGGGGGTCTGTAAACGATCTTTTTTTTATCAGGCCTTCAGAGTGGGAAGATTTTGAAACGCCGTTTTCGCGTTTCCATCTTTAAGCTCTAACCGCATTTTTTTTTTTGCACGCATGCGTCATAGCGTCGCCTCTAAACATGCATGCGTGACACAGTATCACAACAACAATGGCACCGTACTGTGTGCTGCTCATGCTACTCACCCTGCTGTTGGGCTTACAACAGAATCTTCTTCTGGAATATCTCCAGGAAGAACAGAGCAATATCGACGACATAGTTCAGCAGTGGCACCTGAATTTGACTGAACCACGAAAATGGACCCGCAGGGCAACCATGTATAAATATTAGTACGTATGCCCAACATTTCGTCGCCTATTTTTGCTTTGGCACCACAGCGCCACTTACAGGCCTGGCATACATTTTGCAGCGTTTTTATGCATTCGTGTGGACGATCACATTTATTTTACGTCTCAGTCTTTACGACAAACATTCTGGAAAATATTAGCGTTTCGTGTTCGTTTTGACTTCGTGTGGACGGGGCCTAGATCACTATGCCACTAATGCCAGCTGCCAACATTTGGTTTGTTTCTTTATTTTTATATTCTAAAACAGGATTATCTTAAAACGATTTGTTTACAGCTTGAATTTCACTGCTCTTTAAACTATGGTCAACTCCCAGAGAGGATGGTAGTTAAAGCTAGTTTAAAGTTTAAAATCAGTTAATCGGATTTGATGGGAAAATTCCATTAATCTTTAAGCCATATCGCCAGGTCTACTTTGATCTATCATCAGCAAGCAATAAACTAATCACTCTACTTATTTTGTTGCATAGTCAAAACACATAAAACATCTGGATAACTAGCACTCCAGGGGTTTTCATAAATTGAGTAAGGGCAATAATGTTTTTCAGCTACATCCCTTCGTCACCATCAAAATAAATGTGGCACTCTATGCGGAACTCTATTCAGTGCCACAAAAACATGTTATTTTGACAGTTATAGCTGGTTTTGTTCTGTGTGCATACTTGCATTTGTGCATACTTGCCAAACAAAATGGCCAATGATCAGAGCTTCTTTCTCTATCTTATAAAAAGCCCCATTGCTGCTACGCCGATGCGTCAGGATCAGCTCTAGTGTAGCAGTTGCACAGATGTGCAGAATACAAATGGCATGTAGTGAGAAACAGTTTTCTGGTTGGAAACAAATAAGCCAAAAACATGAGCTTCTGCCTCTGTAGTTGTGGAAAAAGTAAGTAAGCCACATTTCACATTTAATTCTCTGTTACAAAAGCTCTTCATTTATTGATGTTCAGACTAATTTTGTTATTTGTGGAAAGCTAAACAAAAGAATTTTAACGAGATTAAAAGCTGGGCTTGGTTGAGGCCAGGAATTTCTGTTTCTCAATTCACATTGATTCCTTTTGGGGAGTGCAGGACTTTTTCTTTGATATAGAGCAAAATTCATGAACAATTATGATGAAAACCTTCCCTAGTCCCACTATAAAAAAAAGCCCCCCAAACTCATTCTGTTTGGTTTAATCCAAAATTGACCTCTTCCTGATGTCCAAATAATTAAAATCTTTCCATTGAGCCTGATCTTCATCTATGGGCTTTGGACAACCTTTAACCTGGGTGTCATTTTTATCTTAGAGAGTAAAGGTCTTGTGATTGCACACCTCAAATAAAAGTAAAACTTGTGAAGTTTTCCTTTGTTTGTACAAGCAAGCATTCTCACATTGATGGTAGCGAGAGCCGTTTGAAGGTTCAAGGATAAAATCTAATGAGTTTTGGAGACTCATTTTAGCATTTTGCTGTCTGTGAATCTGTTTGGGTGGTCAGAACTCATCATGTTAACAGATTTCAACATATAGTCTATATCCGAACTATGGGTGAATGATCTGATAGTCCTTTAAGCCTCAAACAGCTTTATTCTCATGTGGCCTAATTTTTTAAAGTTTAAGCACAGTAAATGTATTATAATTGATTTTTTCTATTCATGCTTTAATCATATGAACACAATGTCATGCAGCCAAGTTTGATTTTTGTATTTTTAAGTGGGAATGAATGATGTGTCCTAATTCATTCCTCAACCAATACTGCATTTTCTATTTTACTTTAGAGATAATCTTATAACATATTTTCTGCATAAAATATAGCTATATAGGGATAAACTGGAAACTTTATTTGACATCTATAGGTGCTTCCATGCGTGCTTCATGTATGCTCAGTATAAGGGATTGCTGCTTTGCACATCCAAGGGGAATGAATTCTGCAAGTCATTGACTTTCTTAGATAGGAAATGTTTAACAAATCTTTATGATTCACTTGAAATGACTGTAAATTCCCTTGAGATGAATTGTGAATTTATCTAAATAAAATCTATTTGATAATATTTTGTTGTGTGAAAACAAATACTGAACTAAAAGCTTTAAAGGACTCTTTAAAAAAACTGCTTGAATTCACTAATGAAGTGATTACATGGGTAATGTATGTGTTTAAATTTTGTTAGAAAATGGCACTGAAAAGACCAATACATAGATATAGAGATAAATAAATGTCACTGGATGAACACTGGGAAGATAAGACAAAAGTAGCTGTTTCCTTGCATTTTGATGATCAGCGGAAATAGAAAAATTGCTAGAATTGCAAACGGAGGTGCATTACATAGTGGTTGTTATCTGATACATGGTAAAACAGGGAAGTAACATATGCAGAGTTTAAAAGGTTGCAACACCGCACAGCAGAAACTGGGAACTCGTGTTACAGCATACTGCAGTTTCATGTGCTTTAACTCTCATTCCGGTGTGACAAAAATAGCATGAGACATGTGCACTAAATGCATAAGCCATGTGGAAGTGTCACAAATTACATTACACCCATATAGAGCTTAACAACATGATTTCATTCAGACTTTGTAGCTGTTGTCATCAGTTACAGTCAATTAAACTTACAGTCATTTTCCAACTTACTTTTGCCTGTTGTGAAAGTACACAGGGCAACTGATTAGCATCAGTTTGCATTTTTCCTGTTGTTTTTTCCCCTTTTTTAGCTGAGTATTTACTTTGTTATAGATAACATTCAAACTAAAAGGTATTAACTTGTGTTGCATTGCTGTAGTGTAAAACGGTTGAGCCCCATATAAGAACACTGCATAAAAGGTTGGCAACAAGTAATACCATGAAAGCAGTTCATGAAAAGGACTGGAACAGATTTTATTATCAAAGCTCTCTAGTGAAAATATCAATTAAATAGAACAACTTCTGCGCTAAGTGGCTGCAGAACGGAAAATATAAAAACCCCAATGTTCCAAGTTACACCATTTTCAATCATACCAATTCAGAGTGCATAGAGTGCAACTGTACTGGAAAATCACATTATTTTAGGGGATACAGGCAGAAGACGGCACTTAGTCATTTTACAGGCAGTGAACATGCACAAAAACTATTCATATGGAAAATAACAAAGATTAAGACTAGTCAAAGTTTTTTGGGAGACTAATACTAGTCATTGTTGCTTCAGCTTTGAATGCATTGAATGCAACGCTTTGAAACACATATATATATATATATATATATATATATATATATATATATATATATGTGTGTGTGTGTGTTTTTATATGCATTTATCAATGTATAAATCTCCTGGATCAGTATTGACGTGTTTTTCCCTTCAACAAAAAGCATTCTTGGTAAGCTGCAAGGTCAACAACACTTTACAAGCAACTGTCCAATGTTACTGCATTTTCATCAAGGAGAAGGGGGGCAATGGCTCAATACAAT